GTCGCCGATCTGATCCAGACAGTTGCTTCCCCCTTCTGAGCCAGTCTTCCCTTACCGTTCCCTCTCCTTGCCGTTCCCCCTCATCACAGGAGGGCATCAACTTCGCTCTACTCGGGCCGATTCGGTGCCGACTCGAGTTTGTCCGACGCTCTCGTCCTCCTCCTCCCTCCTCTTCCCCCTCCTCCCCCCTCCTCCTCCTCCTCCTCCTCCTCCTCCTCCTCCTCCTCTTCCTCCTCCTCCCCCTCCTCCCCCCTCCTCCCCCTCCCCCTCCCCCCTCCTGTTTCGGGATGCACCCCGGCAGCCGCGCCCCGCCGATGGCTGCCTCCGGGGGTGCCCGGATCGTCCCAGAGTCGGCCGCCAGAGGCCAAAGAGTAATGGCCAGAGGCTCCGAGGTCAGGGCTTCGGTCGGCCTGGCATCGCTCGGACTTGCTCATCGTCATCGAACTTGCCTACGTCCGACAATGAGCGCCATCCTGCCTCCTGGCTATGCCATGACACTATTTCTTCGGCCATGGCGTGGCGGCTCGCAGGCAGTAGGTGTTGTGACCCCACGCGACAGTGGCTATGTGTTCATGTCTTGGCATCGCTCGGACGTGTGCATTTTTCCTTCGGCGAGGACCATCAAGGAGCATCCCTGATCATTTGGCGAAAAAGCCACGCACGAAACCGAAAAAAGCACAGGGAATCGACGTCCGAGCGATGGCGAGTCGGGCGTGTCCCCATACAGACAGACTTTGGACGAACAATTAAGAACATACCCCCAAAATATTAAACAATGGTCAAACATAGTCAAAAGTAATCAAACATAGTTACAAAAAACGATGGTCAGAGGCTCCGAGGCCAATATTTCGGTCGGGCGTGTCCCCCTACAGGCAGATGTTGGACGAAAATAGAAAATACCCCCCCAAAATATTTACAAAAACAGTCAAACACAAGCGTTCCCGGATTGTTTGTTACACTATTTTTGGATATTCTTCCTGTAGAGGGACAGGCCCGACGTAAGTCAAGGTCCCTCTCGATTCGACCAGACCGATTCAATGTCAGGTCCGGCAGCCTTGTCCGATTCGGTTTTGGCCAGGGGAACGAGCAATGACATGAACGTATACAAACACCTCGGAGGGCTGCGCGGATTTCTCGGATCGGCGCTGGGGCCCCTTCTCTGGCGCGCGGAGCGCGCCAGGGGCGGCGACGGAGGCGCCGCCAGGGGACTCCAGCGCCGATCCGAGAAATTGGCCCGGACCTCCGACTTTGCATGATCATGTCATTGTTTATTCCTCCATCGACACTCTGACGATCCGATGCGTCCCGATGCGTGCATGGGGCAGGTGAGCATCCCCGCGCATTCCGATTCGATCCGACTTCGGATTTCGATTAGGATCCCGATTCCTCACTGAGGCCTCTTTACTCTACCGATTTCCGCCTATTCGACTCCTCCCGACTTGGCTGCCGATTTCCGCCGCCCTGATTTATTTCGATCGCCGATTCGACTTGTCGATTCGATTCTGGGCTCTCCTGCCTCCAGGTGGACAACTACGGTGATGAAGCGCGTTGTGTTCAGCTGTGCTTCCATAAGAAGTGCGCCCGTGATGGCAGTGCAGTTCTGCGTGGGAAGAGATGGACAGTGGCAGCAAGGAGCACATATGTCGCATCCTGTCTTAATTTGCATATCCGAAGGCCCGTGGCCATCGCCGGCCCTTTGTCGCAAGCACCATGGTAGCATCCTCCGCTTCCTCCTCTCGGTGGCTCTCGAGGCCCTCGCGGACTCTTGTGGCCCTGTGCATCTTGCTCCCCCCCCAGGTCCATTCTGTGCCGTGTATACACATTCTGTGGATGCTGTTCCTCCTCTCCCTCTCCACTCTTGCCCGCCGCCTCCTCCTCCTCCTCCTCCGCCCCACGTTTCGTCGTTATCGGCTCGGAGCAATCGCTTGCGCCAGTTGCTCGAGGTGTCGCGGAGGCCCGAGCGGTCGACGGGCTGTCTGGCGTGGGCCCATGGGCCGGAGCAGTGCGCGCCCGAAGGCCGAAGGGGGCGGCACGCGATCCGCCTGCGAGGCGCAGCGTGTCGCAGGGGCCGCCGCCGCGACGCGCGAAGCGGCAGGTCCTCCCCATCTGGGCAGGCCAACGAATGCCATACACAATACGGTAGGTTCGCGTCGTGTCGACTCGTCGCGACCCGCCGCGGGCGTCAAGGTTGAACGCCGCCAGTGGCCCAGAATCGTCCTAATATGGAACGATATGGCAATCGATAAGCCGCCGATCGTTCAAGGTTGAACGATCAACGCGATGTCAGAAACCAACGCTGGGGTCGTCACGACACAAACCCGCCGTACGTACGTGCACATACGTCAGCCAACGCAGCAATGGCGGGTGACCCTCCCGAGGGCACCGTTGCACTCTTGCCTCGGTCCATCCTAGGCCACTTTCGTTGGCCGCGCCCCGCTCGAACAGCTTCGACGTGGGCGCCCAAGGTCCTTGCATCCCTATCGCGCATCCTTACTATACGGGTTGACTGTACATGTAGACCTAAGTCGGACCTGTCCCTCCACAGGAGGAATATTCAGAAATAGACTAAATATAGTCTGGGGACGATGCTTCGAGTATTGTTTGGCTACGTTTGAGTATTTTTGGCTGTTTGGTTTTTCCTTCAACATCCGCCTGTAGGAGGACATGCCCGACCTAAATATGCACAGAGAGAGACATATTGAGAGCGAGAGAGCCGAAGAGACAGAGAGAGAGGGGGAGAGAGAGAGAGAGAGAAAGAAAGAAAGAGAAAGAGAGAGAGAGAGAGAGAGCGAGAGAGAGACAGCGACCTGGCTGTCCCCAACCATAGTTATTCCTTCTCATGGGCCGCTCTTACACAGTGAGCCAGACCGACCTCGCCGAACCAATCCTCATGCAGGGCCACTCTCGTCCACTCGTCCGTCCTGGACACAGGCGAGATGCTGAGTAGCAGGCGCAGATGGCCGAGAGTCTTTCAGAGGCTTGGTCAGGTCGGCACAATCAGTAGTCCGCGCGTGCACACACGTGCAGGATCGTTCCCGCAAGCGTGCGCTCGCATGGGTGGCTATGCATGCATGCGCGTATGCGTTCCTGGTTAGCGCAGGTTTCCACACGAGTTGGCCCTTGCGTTGATAGCGTAATCCGTAGGTGTGTCCTCGGTGAATGTTGTCACTGTCACCGCCGCGTCGGAGAGCACGTTTGTGTGTGTGTGTGCGCGTATGTGCACAGATGTGTGTACGTGTGTGTGCGTGCGTGTGTTGACGCATTCGTGCGTGCATGCACATTGCGTCTGCGTGCGTGTGTGCGCATGCGAACGTGTGCACGCATGTGGGTGTACGCATGTGGGTGGACTGGACACTGCGCCGCCTGCAGCAGCGGCTTTTGATCCACAAGACGACGTTCGCACACGCGTGCGCGTGCACGTCATTATTCCTTCCTTCCTTTCTCGTCGCTCTCGCTCGCAGGTACCACTCGGGAGAACACTACAATTCCGTGCGCAGCAGCGACGACCGAGGCGGGCCCACGTGCTTCCGTCAGCACTTAAATGCGGCTTGGGTATCCCCATGCGCTAACAGGGAGGAAGCGAGGACTGTGAGCGTAACGTTCGTTACCCGTGCCCCCCCCCCCACTGGGATAATACTGGGCGGGGGAGTCTGACCCCCCGCCCCCCCCCGCTACATGCTACGTGGCGGACGGTGCTCACAGGCACGGCGTGGTGCTGAAAGGCACGCTGTGGTGCTTCTAAGCGTGTTGTGGCGCTCGCAGGTTCCCCGCCTGTTGCGGCGCCGAGCGCACAGGCATGGCGTCGTGCCGAACGGCATGCTTCGGTGCTCACGTGCGTGTTGTGGCGCTTGCAGGCTGGTGCCGTGCGCATAGGCCAGGCGGGCTCACTGCCAAGGTGCCTCTCGCCCGCGCAGGGCACGCGATACAGCCTGTGCGGTGCTACCAATGTAGGCTCCAGTGCAAGCAGTGCGCGGGGAGCACGAGCACCTGAATGCAAGCGTTGTTTTGGGAGTTCCACGGCGCTGGAGCTGTCGACCCCATCGTGAGGCTCCTGGTCTTCCTCCAGTTGCTGCTCCTCGTGCTCCTCCTGCTGCTCCTCCCCCCGCTCCGTTTTCCCCTCCCTCAACAAAGGCCGCCAGGACCGTTTAAAGAGGAAAGGAAGAGGACAGGGAGGAGGAGGACGTGCAGGAGGAGGATACGAGGAGATGGAGGAGGAGGCGGAGGAGGAGGAGGAAACGAAAGCCGAGTCCTGAAGGCCTCCATGGTCTGTGGCGAGCCCCGCAAAGGAGGCCTCGCAAGCTACTGATGTGCTCGTTGGCACGTGTGGCGTTCTGGTGTACACAGGCGATGTGGTGCACGGAACTATTGTGCCCTGCGTAGGCGCGGCGGTACACATGGTTGTTGCGGTGTACACAGGCGTTGTGGTGTACACGAGCGGTCTGGTGCACGCATGAAACGCGGTGTACGTAGGCGCTGTTGCGCACAAGGCCCTGCGGTGTACATAGGCGACGTGGTGCTGCGGTGCACGCGGCAGTTGTGGGGTACGGAGGCACTGCGGTGTACACAGGCGGCGGTGTGTTGCACGCAGGCATTGGGCATAGTCGTGTAAGCAAGGACTGTGGTGCACACGGGCGATCGATGCGCCAGTGGCGCGGACGCACCTTGGCGGGTGCACGTCGCGGCCGCCGTTACCAATATTTTCCTGTCCGACCCCACCCCCCGCGGTAACGACCGTTACCCCAGATGGAAAACAAACGCTCACAAGATTGGGGGACCCCAGAATAAAACTCATTGCCACTGCCGGAAATATTACCAGCGTCATCCACTGAATTGCACAGTGTGGTTTGCGAAGGTTTGCGTACAGAGAGGGAGAGAGAGAGAGAGAGACAGACAGACAGACAGAAAGACAGATACAGAAATACAGTGTTTGTGTGCCAGAGGGTTCGATATTAATGATTGACATGTGGAAGAGGGACAGTGATTGCGGCGCTCGATGGTTTGCATGAACTCATCCGTTGTATGTGGGTTAGTTGAGCGCCGCCTAAAGAGGCCTCCTTGTGTCTTCGTGACGTTACGATAGGGAGTAGTCCAGTGCTGTGCAGCTTGTAACGCAGAAGGCTGAGACGACGCCAGTATTCTAACGCAAGCAGGTCCAGAGCGGGCTTGCACCAACGCCTCGTTGCAGCCTGAATCGCGCGAGTCAGATACGCTGCACCTTTTTGCGCCGCCAGCAGTGGGGCAGAAGACACCGCCGATCCTTCATCTCATTGGACATCAACGGTCACAACTCTCAAGTCGGTGTGCCCTCTTCGTCCGAGTTCTGTCGAGGGGAACTGGGTGTCTTGGGTTTCGATGGTTTTGCGATGGAGAGCGTGACGTTCCCACATGAAAATCAATGGGCGTCCTTGAGTCTCAGGGTTGGGTTTCTCGCGGACGGTTTCTTATGGACTGGCCTCCACTGCAGGGCCGAAGACATTGAAACCCGACATGGTGTTCCATAACTTCTAGCCCCGGGGAAGTCCGCGCGGTGCGGCCCAGAAGTCGCGCGTAGCACCCTGAAAGCACGCGCTACGCCCCAAGAGATGCGGCACTTCGGGTCTGGGCCCCTTGAGGAGCAGTTGTCGGGATCCCGCCAGGGTGTGTGTGTGTGTGTGTGTGTGGGTGTGTGTAAGTTCGCTCGGTTTTTGCACCGAACTGCCCAAAACGGATGCCCACCTGCCGCATGCAGCTCCCAACTGTTGGCGACAGGTGGGGCACGCAGGGGCGTCTGTTTGCGGCAGGTCGGTGCGCCAGTGGATCGAACTCAGGCACCCCTTTCAGGGCTCGTTTCGATTCCTCCGATTCGATTCGATTCGATTTCGATGGATTCCGATTCCGATTCCGATTCGATTCGATTTCGGATTCCGATTTGGATTCCGATTCCTCACTGAGGCCTTATTACTTTGCCGATGTCCGCCGATTCGACTCCTCCCGACTGTCTGCCGATTTCCGCCGATCCGATTCATTTCGATCGCCGATTCGACTTGTCGACTCGATTCTGGGCTCTCCTGCCTTTCAGGGTCACCCCCCTTTTCGGGGAACAAATCATGACACAAACATGAAAACTCGGAGGTCCGCGCGGATTTCTCAGATCGGCGCGGCCCCTCGCGCGCTCCGCGCGTCAGGAAGGGGGGTCCAGCGCCGTTCCGAGAAATCTGCGCGGACCTCAGAGTTTTTATGTTTATGTTATTGCCTGTTCCCCTAAACAAAGCTCGGACGAAGAGGGCACACCGACTTGAGAGTGGTGATCGTTGACCTCCAATGAGGTGAAGGACCGGCGAGTTTTTATGTTAATGCCATTCTTCGTTTCCCTACATTTGGTGGTTCCCGAAGCATATCGCTCGAAGGGAATCGGGGCACTCTGCTGCCCACTCGGCGCGGGGGCGGGTCTCGGGGCCCCCGCGGCACGTCTCGGCGCCCCCTTCCTCGCGTGCGGCGTGCTTCCCTACGGCCCTCCCCCAGCCGACAGTTTTCGAGAGCTTCGCGAACAAAGCCTCGGAGGAGGAAAAGGCAACCCATACTTTTCCCCTTGCGCCCCGTTCTCCCTTTTTGGGGCCTCCTGGGCGGCCCTCGTCGCCACCGCTAGGTTCACTTCTTGTCAGAACGCACCCCGTGAGAGGTCCGGGGAGCAGCGGCATCGGAACTTTTTGGTTCCCCCAATCATGAATGCGTAAACACGTCGGCACGACCAGGACAAGCGCACGAGCTCCACCATTCATGGGGCGCAGCAAAGCCTAGCGCATATCCCCAGGAGTACATTCAAGATGCTGAAATCAGGATCGCTGTGGGTTCGGAAGGGGCTCGCTGTTCCTTAGGTAATCAATTCCGTGGCTGTTCCTCTAGCCCCGCTCGTGCACCCAGGCTATTTAGGCGGCAAAAAGTGGGGTTCGTTCACTTCGTAGCGTTCCGCCTTGCAGCAGCTTGGCAGTATGTGCGATGCGTGCCCGCCGACGAGTCTTGAGCGCGCACGCGCTCCCTTGCCTCCGATTGGTGACCGCAATTGGAAGAGGATGGCGGTGTAAGCGGGTATGGGCCATGACGTCCCCCCAGCTCATACTCCCTCTCCCCTCGCCCTCTTCGTTTTCTTCGTCCTCCATCTCTTCTTCATTGCCTCCCCTCCCCTTGTTCCACCTCTCTCCTCCCTTGCAGCTCTCTTCCTTGCGTTCTTTCCATCCTGCTTCCCTCGTCAGCGTTAAGCGCACGTGCAAAGTGGTCGGTCGCCAGTCGCCCTCCGGTGCCGGCGAGGCGATAATGTCCCGCCGTTTCTGACCCTCGCTGCTATCGAGCAGAAGATGTCCCAGGCAGCCAGAGGGGAGGAGGAGGAGGAGAAGGAGGAGGAGGAGGAGGAGGAGGAGTAGGGAGTAGGGAGTAGGAGGAGGAGGAGGAGGAGGAGGAGGGTGAGGGAGGACGAGGTTGAACAGAAACATAATGTTGGGGAGAGAGGGGGACGAGGTTGACGAGCGGAAGGAGGGCTGACCAGTGTAAACTCAAGACGCATCCACGATATTCCAATGAACCCTCCCACCAAGTTTCCTCGTCGTAGGCCCCTGCAATCATTTATTTTCACTGAGGGGAGTCCCGTGTTGGACGACAACCATTTAAAAATCTTGAACTGTTCCAGAGCACCGTTCCTGAGACTTCAACGCCGCGAATCACCTTTACTGTTGCGTCTTGACGATCCTGAATCGCGCAAGAACGCCATTCATTGGGCTTCGACACCACGAATCAAGGTAACTGTAGCCCCCTGGCAGTTCGACATTGTGCCATAGACTATCTCTTGGACGTCAAGTCATGAGACTCCTCGGAACTGTTGGAAACTCTTCGCACGACTGTGCGCGGCGCTCTGGCGAGATCCGCAGTTTTGAAACGACCCGCCCTCCACCCGTGAAAGTGTGGCACGATCTCAGCTCAGGGGCCATCACTGATGACCCCTGAGCTGAGATCACCGATGGCCCCCTTATGCTGATGGCCCCCTTATGCTCCTCTCCAATGGACACACACTTTGTGATGAACGCGTCGTACTCTGTATCATCTCCCAAATTCGATATGATAGATCATTGCACGATCTCAGCTCAGGGGTCCTCAGTAGCGAGGAAGTCTCGGGCGGAACGCCCGGCCCGCCCTGCCGACACGCCTCGAGGTGCGACAGGGAGGAGTTTATGTAGGAGGAAAAGGGCCGAGCAGGAGGAGGAGGAGGAGGAGGAGGAGGAGGAGGGGGATTCGCCACGCAAGTGGCCGAACTACCCTCAGTCACTGCCCCCGCTGTCCGCCTACGTGCACACTTCCTGCTGCTGCTGCTGCTGCTGCTGCCCTCCACCGCTGCACCCGTTTCAGGAGGGGAAAAACTCAGGAGGGAAAGAAACACACAGACACAATGAACCGTCGATCCCCAGAAAATGCGGGAAAACATGGGGAGTGTGGGGGAAGAGAGAAACCCAGCAAATATAAGCAAATATGGGGAATCGTTTTATTTGTGTGTATTTATTTGTGTGTCTCAGGGCCCCTTCAAAAAACCACAGGCGGCGCCAGCGGCGGCAACAGCACAGGGCGGCGGTGGGTCCTGGCCGCCGACCGCCACGCGGCCAGCCACGTCGAGCGGGTGGCCGTCGGCCGGGCAGCGCAGGTATCCGCACACGGGAACGGGCACGGCTTGGGACCCCCCATGGAAGGCAAAGGCTCAACTTCTTCTGACCTGGCAAGGACCAGCCGCACGCGTATTGGCCAGAGGTTCGAAAAACGCGCTGGCCAGCGATGGAGACGCTATTCGACCCACAGCCTCGCTTCGCGAGCGGGATCGTCGTCGTCCGAGTCGCTGGCATCGGGGAAACCGACCAGGCTTTCCCACAAGGCTAAATCAGCCTGGGAAACAGGAGGAGGAGGAGGAGAGTGCCTCAACCGCGGGGGCCTCATCGGCCGTAGCACGTTTGGCAGCATCACACGCCAGGGCGGCCAAGACATGGCTCTCGGCGGTCCACGGGAGGGCGGGAAGCGGCCTCGCTTCATTCTAGTCTAGTTTCCCCCCATATCTTGGCAGGGGGCGAGCAGTCACTGGTGAGCCTCCTGCCGTCAGACGACGCAGTGAAGCCGCACTTCAGACAGACAACCAGACCAAACGAATGTGTATTATGGCGAGGGCGTGAGACGGGTGGGGCAGCACGCCTCCGACCGACACCTCGCCCTCGGCCGCCTCGAAGCCCTCGTCATACTCGGGAGGCAGAGACCGAGCTGCAGGCACATCCAGCACACGCGCGACCGAGCGGGGAATCACGCACTGTGTCGAGGCGGCCTTTGGGACCTTGCATCTTGGCCAAATGGTCCTGCAAGGCTCGCACCTCCACCGTCCAGCAAAAGGAAGGAACCGATGCCGACTGGACTGGAGGGCGGCATTGGACTTCTTGGGCCGAGGCTGCTCGACTGAAGGGGCTCTCAGTACGGCCCACGGCTCAACCTCCAACGCAAGCAGCAACGCCCGCCTGGCTCTACGACCCACCCGTGCCGCCGTCGTGTCCCACAGGTCCGTCGAGGGGGTTGGGGAAGGCACGCACGAGTCCCAGGCCCGCTGGGCCGCGACCCCCGCCCGGACGTCGGCACTGGCACTGCCCAGACAGAGCGGCACATCAAATTCAGTAGTTCGGGACTGCGTTTCGTCCTCTACGTGGGACGCCGTCCAGAGCAAAGAACCACCCCGATGGCCCTGATCAAGCAGCGCTTTCGAGGCACGAACCCACACATCGCCGTTTGGGCCCCGAGGAAACTTGGCGCGGCCAGCATGCCAGTCAGTGACTAAACTCCTGCAGTCGGTGACATCACAAATCGGTCCAGTCGAATTCTAACGCTTCAATTCATTAGCAGCTTGCAGACCCTGGCAGTCGGTGACCCTGGCAGTCAGCACCCCCCTGCAGCTCGTTGCACGGTTGCAGCGCCTGGCAGTGTTGCAGCCCCGCCCCCTCTTCGGCTACTTCCGGGTCCCGTTCTGGGTGGCAGTGTTGGGCCTGCTTCTGCTTGGTTAATTCGGCCCTCGCGCGGCCCGCCCGGACCCTGACTCGCCGCTGTGCGCTTTCGCCTGCGGCTGCTGACAAACAAAAAACCCACCAGCCCATCTAGAAACGATGCCCAGAGGAGTAACCTCGATCACGGAAGTGGGCAGTACACAGAGGAAGGGTCCCGCAGTGGAGGCCTCTTGGAGCGTCTTGGGTGCCTCGGAGAGCGTCTCTTGGGAGCATCTCGGAGGCCTCTTAGGCGCCTGTTGGGGCCCTCCTGGGCGCCTCTTGGGGCCCTCTTAAAGCGCTCTCGGGGGCCTTGGGAGCGCTCTTGGGGCCATCTTGGAGGACATCGATCAAACAAGCAGCGAGCATTAGTTAGTGTTTCCCCTCGGGAGCCCAAGCAATCGCCTCATGGGTTGCTCTTGGGGCGCTCTTGGAGCGCTCTCAGGCGGTCTTGGGGCCGTCTTGGAGCTTTGTTGAGCTTCTCTTGGGGTCCTCTTGGGCCATCGTGGAGCCATCTTGAGGCCTCGGATGGCCATCGGAAGCGAAAGGGCGAGAAAACCAAACACATAGATGTTCCTAAGATGTTGGCCTCTTCGGGGCCTCCTGGGGGAGCTCTTTGGCCACTTGTAGCCGTCTCGGAGCGGTCTTGGAGCATCGTGGGAACCATTATGAGACATCTTGGGCTATCTTTTGCCATCTTGGAGGTCAGTTTGGGCTTTCCCAGGCGCTCTTGGAGTCATCTTAATCAGTGCCCCCCCAAGAGGCCAACATGTGGCTAATACCTTAGTAAAATTAATGGTTTAGCATTCTCGCCGAGGCCTCTTGGAGTATCTTGGGTGCCTCTGGGGGGTCTCTTGGGGCCTCTTGGAGGTATCTTGGGAGCCTCTTGGGGGCATCCTTGGGGCCTCTTGGGGTTTCCTGGCCACCTCTTGGGGCCCTCTTGGGGCACCCTTGGGAGCCTTGGGGGCCATCTTTGGGCCATCTTGGGCGAGATCGATCACAGGAGGGGGGGTCACTAATTAGGGCCCCCTGTCAGGAGGCCATAATGGTGCCAAAACTTTAGTACAACCAATGACCCCCTGTCCAGGTCCAGGGGAGGGGGTAGGGGGGAGGGGTCAAGAGTCCCCCTCCCCGGCCGCAAGCCGTTTCGCTCACTCCCACCCGCCCTCCCAACACATACGTAGCACCCGAGCCTGGCCCGAGCCTCAGCATATTCAGCAGTCGTCATTGGATGGGCAGCTACTGGGGGCCAATCCGCCGCCGCCGCCGCCGCCGCCGCCGCCGCCGCCTCCCGCTGCCAAACCGCCGCCGCAGCCGCTGCCGCCACCGCCGCCGCCGCCGCCGCTGCCCCCGCCGCCGCCGTCGCCGCCCCCGCCGCCGCCGCAGCCGCCGCAGCCGCCGCCACCGCCGCCGCAGCCGCCGCAGCCGCCGCCGCCGCCGCCAAGTGCAATCTTGTTTTTTGACAGGGATGGTGGGGTGGGGGGCCGCATCGGGTTGGCTGCGCATGTTCCGAATTTGGAGGCAGAGTGTGTTTTGCAATTTTTGTTTACAAGGGATGGTGGGGGGGTCGGCATGGACCCTGGTTGGCCCCCAGTCGCTTGGGGGAGGGGATGTATATTAATAGGGAACAGTGATAAACCCCTCCCCGATGGGGAAGAAGGAGGTTGGACGAGGAAACTCCCTAAACCACCTACGCCCAGAGGGCTGGTGGGATTCTCTAGGGCAAGACAGAACGCCTGGATTTCAGCACAAGGAACCGTCTGCCTACGCCCAGAGAGAATCTGCGCGACTCCACATTGAGGGACCCAGGCACCTGTCGACAAGGGATCCTGACACAACACCACAATCCCCGACCCGCATCTCCTTCCCCGCGGGTCCGCAGAGAATTCACCCACAGAACCGTCTCCAAACCAGTCTACCGGGCGGCCGCCAGGAGCAGAGCAGAACGCACACCCGCTACCAGCCCCTAGAGGAACCTGCCTGCAAGCCCCGGGCGTCTCCACAAACTTGAGCAACGTGAGGTCCCTGTGGGGCACTTCCCGAGACCACTGGCCAGGTCGGGCCTCTGGGTGTCCCTCTACAGGGGGAATATTCAAAACTAGACAAAAAATAGTCGGGGGAATATTTTTGATTATTTCTAAATCATGTTGAGGATATTTTTGGGGTATTCAGATTTTTTCGTCCAAAATCCCCCTGTAGGGGGACGCGCCCGACTACTCTTAGTGAATCTTCGTGCCCCGTGTTGGCAGGGCACCTCCAGATCCCATGGGCAAGGGTCTCGGGGTTCCTGCGACACCTGTGGCAAAAAGGCGGGC